AAATCTAGGGTTTTTGAAAGGCTGAGTGTTTCTGCAGACACGACGGGTGCCGAGCTGGACCCTAGTCTCCATGCGGACTGGTGCCAGTGCTGGCATTCCGGATATCTCGGGGTTTCCAGTTGCGACGCATGGAAGCCATCGCCTGCGCCCCTGAGGAACACGGTGAAAAGGGCGTGTCTGATGTGGAGGACCTCGGAGGCGTCTCTGATGGTGTGACTCTGCAGTTATTCGGTGTATTAGGGATGCTTCCATTGGCTTGGAGGGGGTGGGGGCCGGGGGGGCTGCTTAATGCAACCATCTGAATGGGACCTATAGCTGGCATGCCTGTCCTGTATGTGGTGGTGGTGGGGGCGGGATTTGGGACATGTATGTCACGGCACAATGTCGTCCCCCGTGCCAGTAAGGCTGTCCCCAAAACGGGGAAGCAGGCAGGCCAGTGACATTAGCACTAATAATGGGCGTGTGTGTGTGTGTGTGTGTTTGTGTGTATGTGTGCGTGTGTGTGTATGTGTGTGTTTGTGTGTGTGTGTGTTTGTGTGTGTGTGTGTGTGTGTGTGTGTGCACCTCCAGCACACAGCATGCATACAGGGGGTAGGCGCCTTGAAAAAGAAGTTTATCTATCTAACCATCTTCAAACCACTTACCCTTGACAAGGCTAGAAGATATTTATGTTTTAGTAAATGAAATTTAATGGAAGCTTTTATCATGAAGTCTTAAGCGTCAGTGCAGAAAAGCAGGTCGTCTTTGTTCCCCATCTCATTTGACTTGGGAATTCCATTAGCTTTCTCACTGTCAGAAGTGTCCCTGTTTTTTCACACTCAGGTGATTTCCTCGGCAAATCGGTATCTGGTTGCGCCCCCCCCCTCCTTTCCGCCTTTTGGCTCCACCGGTGTCGCTAGACAGGCGACTCGGAAGCGTAGCCACTGAGATCCGATGTCCTTGGTCGTACCGCGGGTTGGTATGCGTGCGTTTGCATGCCTCTGAGCTGCCCCTGTCAGGCTGGGCCCGGGGTGCCACGGGTGGGGGTGCTATTTCCGAAATCACGGCGCTAACGTGGTGAAAATTCATGAGGCAACACGCGGAGGCATTCCGGAAGGCGACTGTGTCTGTTTAACACCACTTCCCACCGGTGTTGGTTATCTCCGGAGGAAATATTTATACTTTATAATTTTCTATTTAAATATTGCTGCACATCTGAATTTTTTTGGAGTCTCGGATAAGGGTTGCGTGAGGGGAACGTGCCCGTTTAATGTCGGTGTGCAGACGGAGATGCTGCAGCTGGCTGAGCTGGTGCCGGTAGGCAAAAGCTGACACCGGTAAGATAATGTAGTGCTAAAACGTGGGACGAGACTGCGGCACCAGAGAGCGCGGTGCATGAGAGAGTGGCGCCAGAGACCTTGGCACATGAGAGCGTGGTGCGTGAGAGCGCGGCACCTGAGAGCGCGGCACCAGAGAGCGCGGCGCGTGAGAGCGCGGCACCAGAGAGCGCGGCGCGTGAGAGCGCGGCACCAGAGAGCGCGGCGCGTGAGAGCGCGGCACCAGAGAGCGCGGCGCGTGAGAGCGCGGCACCAGAGAGCGCGGCGCGTGAGAGCGCGGCACCAGAGAGCGCGGCGCGTGAGAGCTTGATGCTTGAGAGCGCGGCGCAGAGTGCTGGGTGCCATGGCCACTGTTGCCCATGTTGCGTTTCAGCGGCTTGTGAACAGAGCGACCTCGTCATCATCCCCCTTTTCTCGGCAGGCACATTTGCCCCATTTTTCTCTGCTTTTAGACCAAGTGGGTGCCTGTCAGGTAGACAGGGGCCATGCCCCCCCTGCGGCGGGGTTTGGAAAGGGGGGTGCGTGTGACTATGACAGTCACAGTCAGGCCTTGGGCATTATACACTTGAGTTGTAGGGCTGTGTAGCATCTCTGACCCCTCGTGGCTCAAACCTCCTACCACTATTACCCCTCACAGGCCTGTGCTATGTCACCTGGGTAAGTTTTGAAAGAGGAAGCAAAGTATCCTGAGAGGAAGCGGCATCTTTTCTTCAGAGGCCATCTGCTCGTGTGTCAGCCTGGTCAGGGAGCACATGGACCGGTGCCGCCATGTTGGGACAGTTGGTGGATGTGGCTACGTCACCTTCTGAGGGCGGCCAGCAAACGTCCCGGAGAAGGCCCCTCTTTCTTACTTTCCCCTACATTCCTTCCTTTTCTCCTGGTTTTTCTCAGGAAATCTGTGGGAAGATTCTGCAGGAAAAAAATCCAAAAACAACATGAAAAAATAAAGATCTGGATAGCACATTTAACGCTGGATAATACATAAACACACCACACACACACACACACAGTTGCAATGTTTTGCTGTCAGGCATCACTTGACTGTAACACTTCTGCATGCTTATTTTTAAACACTTGCTTGGGGGGTGGGGGGGGGGTTAGTGTGCTTGACTCTCGTGCTGGGGGGGGTGGTTTGGGATCTTACCCCGAGGGTTCACTGTGAGCAGTGCAGAGTCCCACAGAGACACCCCATCACTCCCATGTTCCCCTGGCAACCCCATTCTGGAACTTTCCACCATCCGGCACTTTGGGCCATGAGAGTGCTACCTTCTCAAACCTGCCGTTCTCGTTTGCAAACGAGGTTACCGTCCCGCAGCCATGTGTGCCAGAGCAAGGCTCAGTCCAGGTGGTGGTTCCACCCTCTGCCACCGAACGCTTTGCCCTGTGCCACAGAAGAGCAGCTCTTACACCCGTGCATCTTCTAGGTTCTCCTGACGTTCTCGTCTTTATCGGTTCTTCTGACCTTCTTTGTTTTTTTTACTTTATTGATTCTTCTGACGTTCTTCAATTGTTCATTTTAGTTCTTTTGACATTCTTTATTTGTTTTTTTTTTATTGGTTCTCCTGACGTTCTGTACTGGTTCTCCTGACGTGGCATGCTTCGCGGTGTTGATGCCGCAGGTGTGCCATCTGCGGTGTAGCCTCGCCGCGTGGTTTGCGGTGCCCAGAGTGACGCTGATGGGTTGGGGGCGGGAGGGGGGGGGGGTTGGCGATTAATCCACCCCGCCTCCCCCCATTTGAAAAGGAGCCACGAGCACGAGCATGAAAGGAGGGTTTGTGGTGGTGGTGAGGTGGGGGGGGGCGGGGGCTGTAAGATGTTTCCAATTATCGGGGAAAACGTCGTCCTTGGCGGGAGAGGAAATGAGGAAATAAAATGCCCAGATTGCCTGGAGTTTCTTTGCCTGTCATTTTTAAAATCTACTGTCTCAGCTGAGTCTGCTTCCCTCATCAGGCCTTCGCCGGCTGTGGTGGGAGAGCTGGGAGCCAGTGGGGGTGGCATCTGGGTACCAGTGCAGAGAGGGGGGCAGACAAAATCGAGAGAGAGAGACCTCCGCAGGGACTCTCTGGCGTCTTTGGCTGCTGGTTGGTGCTTTGCCGCACACACACCCCCCCCCCCCCGTCCCGTCCCTTGCTGCGATTACTGTGAGATTTTCGTCCATCCGTCTGCCAGTCACTCCATTTCCTCTTCTTCTTATTGGGTTTCTCCCTCTCTTCTGATGCTCCTGTTTTGCCCCTTTCTCAAGCCCCCTTGGGCCCCTGGGGAATATTACCCCTCACCACAGTTCCCAGTCCTCCATTCCCGGGGCTCCTTGTGGTCCCCCCCCCCCTTTTCCATCCCAGCTCCTCTATGCTGATTTTTCCTTAGCCTGGAACCTGTCATTAGTGGAAACCAGTCACACGTCCAGGTTCTTAACCGCAAATACTGCGCTGAAACCTTCAGGCATGCCTCTGAACCCGGAGCCTTCTGATCTCCCGCCCTGTGCCCGGTTTTCGGCATGTGGGCCCCGTTCCTCCCTCCTCACCCACCGCACACTCCCTCACATGGCGGGCTGGCCCTCCGGGGCCCCTCCTGGCCCCTGGATCGCACCCTCATCCCACTTTCGTGCTGCTTTTCCCATCGTGACGCCCGTTCTCTTTCCAACATCTTCGTCTTTGTTTTGCTTCCTGGAATCCGGTTTCACTCCGGTTTCACCCCCCCCCCCGGCCAGCGGGGCTCCAGATCCTGGGGTAATGTTTACGCTCCGTCCGTCGTGCCCGCCGCTGCTCGGGTTACACGCTAGCACCTCTGAAGGGCTCCCCGCCCGCCCCTGATAAATACCAGTTATCCCGCCTGCTGAATTATGCTTTGTTCCATCGCTAAGAAAAACACAGCGGCCGTGTTTTGCTGCGCTCATGTCGGGCAGCAAGTAGGGGGCCTGGCAGCCAGGACCTGTAGCGGGGGGGGGGGGGGGGGGGGCAGGGCAGGGTGGATTTCAGTCTGAGTTGGGGGTCCCTTGCCTTGGTTGGTCCAGCACAGCAGATTCTGCCCCCTGAATGATTAACTAATGCTCTTAAAAGTGCTGGGAGATTATCGTGTGAGAATTAAAGGGAAGAGCAGATTAAATGCACTTCTGAGTTCCCAGGTCTCCCTTCATGCCCTGTTCACCTAGTGGCGGGGTAGGGGGATTGCTGCATCACAGCTACGGTTCCACAGCGATGACATCACACCGTAACGTGCCCCCCATGCCCAAACGTGTGCCCGTGCCTGGAAAAACTTTTATCGATAAGGTCAGGCAGCCTGTGAGGGTTTTGCCAGTTGATGGAGGTACTTCCTGTTTCATCCCTCCAGCTCTGCTGGCCTGCTCTGCTGAGCCCAAGGGGATTCTGGGTAATTATCATGTACTGGCTCCCTGTTGGGGGGGGGGGGAGTGTAGGGGGGCACTGGCCTCCCCCTGTGCTGTGATCCCGAGTAACGAGAAGGGAAGATCCCAGTCCCAGTCTGTATGCCTGTTATTCCTGTTTAGTCTGGGGAGATGGTTTTATTCATATCCAAACTTTTCATGTATGCTCACTCTGGCAATGTATAATGACAATAAAGCTGAAATGAATTCAGTGATGTGTGTGTGTGTGTGTGTGTGTGTGTGTGAGAGCATCTCTTTGACCTGCCACTCAGCCAGACCATAACCATACAGCGTTCTTCCTGCAGAGCGCTGTGGCCTTTCAGACCAACAAGGAGTCTCGTGTTCTCTGGGTCAGGGACTCGGACTACATCCTGACCACCGGCTTCAGTCAGGTGAGAAGAAGCGCCCCCCCCATCCCCTGCTTCCCGTCCAAGGAGTGTCTTTGTCTCGCAGCAAGATGCTGATCTGACAGTGTCACTGTTATGTTCTGCTCGCCAATGACATCATCATGGCGAGCCACATTGGGCTGGGCTGGAAGCAGTGTGATGATGTCATTGTGTTCCTAGGTGCGGGAGAGGGAGGTGAGGATGTGGGACAGCAGGAAGCTGGGATCCTCGGTCGGCTCCTCGTCTCTGGGGACTTCCAGCGGGTAAGACGATCCCTGCGCTCCAGCGGGGGCACCGGGCTGTGGTTGGGTTTTTCTCTGGGCCTCTGAGGATGGGCCTGTTTGTCAGTGTGACGAGGGGTCAAAAGTCCTGTATATTTAGAATTTTTGTTGGTCCAAACTGTAAAGAAAGGCCCCGCACATTCCGGATTTTTTCCTTCCGCTCTTTATTGACGGGATTTGTCTGCACACTGGAGGCCATCGCGCAGGCTGAGTGCCCCCCCGACCCCATTCAGGAATCTCACTGAGGGAGTCTCAGCCCCCCCCCACGCGGTGCTAAACACATGGGCTCCTACACAACGCCCTGGACGGGGGGGTCAAGGGGCAGTGCTGTATTGTGGTTCCACCGTGGTTCCAGCGGTGGTTCTGAACCGCAGAACACGTGTTCGGCTCGGGAGAGGAGGGCTCGTACTCCTTGAGGAGATTTATAGTGCCCGCCTCCCGTCACCGCTGCACCCCCCCCCCCAAATCCCACTGCTAAGAAAGGCATTTGACTGTGACGGGTGTTGCTTGGAATGTTCTTTAGCCAGATTGTGTGTCGTCTTCTTGACACGTTTAGTTTACACGTTCGGACAGAACCATCACGGTCGCAGTCAGCTGGCCCCCAGTTCTGCGACAGGAACACGGGCGTCCGTCCGTCTCCTAAAACCCATGACCTGTACCGGTGGGGCCCTGCAGGGGGAGTGTTTGCATGCTGTGCACCGATGAGCTTGAATGCCAACAGCACAGTGCTGTTTGCATCGATGTTTTAAAGTGCTCCCAAAATGAGCGTGCCGGGGACCCCCCCACACCGCCGCCCGGCAGGGCAAAGCATGGCTTTTCTTAGCTGTTTGTTATTTGAGCTGGACTCACTGGTGCTGTGCAAAAGGGCCCCCTCACGTCCCCTGTTCCTTTTGCTCCCGTCTCCCCATTTTGGGGGGGGGGGGGGAACAGCCGGAGCCTTCCCCCCTGAGCAGCCCCCAGCCTCCCTGCTGGAGATGAAGTTTGACTTTGGATAAGGTTTGACTTTGAAAGGGCCCTTGTTTACCCTTCAAATATTGATTTGCCTGTCAGCTCGCAGTGAAAAGGTTACTGGTGTGAAGGCTTTTTTTTTTTTTTTTTGCCTGCTTTTGTCCATCCGAGCTCCTGTCACTCACTGTGCTGTGGGACACTTTCCGAGGCGTAATTATTATTATTGGTATCCTGAGCGCTGGCGGGCAGCCCGTGCCAATCCGCCCGGGACCTCGCAGCTGTAACAGCCCCCAGCTGTCTTCTGCTAAATACCTGATTTGATGTCTGCACACGTTTTCCCAAATGGGTGGGGCTGGAATTAGGTTTATTACTGCCCCCCCCCCCAGCCTGTCTCTCTATCCAAGATGAGGTTTCACCTGCACAGTCCTTCCTTTGCCAGTAGGGGGCGGTGACCAACTCTCTGAGATACGACATCTGGCTGGTTGAGTCCTTTTTTTTTTTTTATTTGATAAATTAATTCATAAACATCGACCTCATCTTGTATAAACTTCCCCTTGCCATTGTCATGTGTTTTGAATAACTTTTTTGTTAATATGACGTTATCTAGTTTAAGCTACAGGTTTTGTCCATTACCCTAATTGTACGGAAACTCTCCTGTTTATTGTGTGAAATGTCACTGCGTAACACTGCAGCCACAGACCTGCAGCCCTGTGTGTGTGGAACCCGCAACTTCCTTGCGACGCAGATCCATGCAGCTCGTGTGGATTGGTGTCTGTAAACTGTTACGTATCACAGCATCCCATCCAGAATGCCTCCTGCCCCATGGCCTGCTGGGATAGGCTCCAGGTTCACTGCACCCCTGCCCTGTAAGATCAGTTCTGAGAATCGGAGGGATGGGGACCGGCGATGATCCTCGCATTGTGTTGCTGAGTTATTCTGCCTTACGGAGAAGTGAATCCTTCGCTCGAGCTGCGCTTGAACACTCTGAGTTGCGTCGGTCTGTAGATCTGGCGTTTTCCGTCCAGGTGCTGCCATAGACAGCCGCCCGGGCCTTGGGCGTGAGCCTGGACGCAGGGACGCCAGAGCGAGCTGGTGGGTGAGGGCTGTGATTTGAGAGCCAGTTTGGCAGAGTCGCCGTTACATGATCTGTTTGTGCCGGGGCCGTTCAGCTGAGGAATTAATGAGGCGAGGGCTGTTAATAATAGAGAGTGATGCCCCCCCAGGGTAACTGCAGGTTATCATGCCGCGATAAGATCCGTGACCCTTTTCTGTTTCCGCGGGGGCCCTCGATAACAGTCTTGAACTTTGGCGAACAATGGTGCGGTTGTCACCACGGCGCGCGCCTGCTTTTCTTGCGGCCGCTGACCAGGCTCCGACGCAGGGCCCCGCGCGGACTTGACATTTCAGACTGAAGGTTGTTGTTCTGCTGACAAATGCAAGCCCACGCCGGCAACGGCGTGTAGGGAAAGAAAAAAAAAAAAGAAAAAAACATCCGCATCTGTATTCCTTCGGTGCGTCGGCAAGGCAGATGGATCTGCTCGGGTTTGTTTCAAGTTAAACAAACGCAGAGGGAGTGTTTGTCTCCTTCAGAGAATTACATCATGGAGCAGCGTGCGGGTTCCTTCAGAGAATTACATCATGGAGCAGCGTGCGGGTTCCTTCAGAGAATTACATCATTCAGCAGCGTGCGGGTTCCTTCAGAGAATTACATCATTTAGCAGCGTGCGGGTTCCTTCAGAGCATCACATCATGGAGCAGTGTGCGGGTTCCTTCAGAGCATTACATCATGGAGCAGCGTGCGGGTTCCTTCAGAGCATCACATCATGAAGCAGCGTGTGGGTTCCTTCAGAGCATCACATCATGGACAAGCGAGCGGGTTCCTTCAGAGCATTACATCATGGAGCAGCGTGCGGGTTCCTTCAGAGCCAACTGAACGAAAACGGGCCAAGTGTTTTTTTTTAATTTTATTTTCCAAGTTGAAATCAAGCCCCAGGCTGTCGGGTGGGGGTGCAGCTCGCAGAGAGTAACTGAGCCGCCCTTTTTACATTTTAAAGGCAGATTTTTATCGCAACTGGAGCCCTGATTCACTCCCCCTGCCCCCGTCGTCCTTCTATAAACATAATTGTAATGGGTTTAATGGGCTATTCTGGCCCAGTTGCAATCAGTGAACTTTACAATTTGGTTCAATTGCAACCAGCTTTCTAAGTAAACAGAGGCAGCGTCACAGCAGTCGTTACTGGGGGTGGGGGGCGGTATTTCCTGTCGAGTCCTGGGCCGGGGCCTTTCCCTGTGGACCCCCACAGCACAGGGCTGTCAGTCCCGAGGGTGGGGGCAAGATCATACTGGGGTCTGAAAATTGCAGCTGGCCAAGGAGTGTTCGTAGAGGGACGCAGAGGGACGTGGCGCGTGCGGCCGCAGTCAGGGGGCGCTGGGGGGGGGGGGTTCCTATCAGCCACCCCTGTGTCCCGCCTCAGTAAAGCAGCCCCTTCAGCCTGCATGGACTGCATGATGTACAGATCAGCCCCCCCTGATATTCACGGTCCTTGAGGGGGGGGGGTGAACTGTGTTTCTCCCTTAATTAAGGCTGTGGGGGATTGCTTTACTTTTACTTCTGGAGTCTATTTTTTGGGTGGATTGCGGCAGCAGTCATTGGGGTGTAATTGATCCAGACCACTTTAATCAGGGCGATTGAGGAAGTCCTTCTGCAGCAAAGGGGGGCTCTGTTTGGGGGGCTCCCCAGCACCCCCCCCCCCCCGAATGGAAATCAAAGGCAGTCATGTTACACAGCAGCTGGGCTGGCTAGGAGAGTAGGGAGGGGGAGGGGTTATGTTTACCTTTGGCATGCATCCGCCACCATCGGGTCAGAGTTTTCTTGCGCATTTCAGCACTTTTGCAGTCTGTCTTTTGGTGACTCAAAAAACACTGCATATGACATGCATCGCAGTAAATGCATTGTTGCGGTGGCAGGTGCTGAAAACACCATGTGCCACGTCCGCGGTCCCTGGGCTCGGGTTTGACGGCTGAACTGCGTCATGTGCCACGTCCGCGGTCCCCAGCCTCGGGTTTGATGGCTGAACTGCGTCGTGTGCCACGTCCGCGGTCCCCAGCCTCGGGTTTGACGGCTGAACTGCGTCGTGTGCCACGTCCGCGGTCCCTGGGCTCGGGTTTGACAGCTAAAGCGTGTCATGTGCCACGTCCGTGGTACCAGCCTTGGGTTCCAGGCAGGTGGTCGCAGGAGGAACGGCAGGGCGGTGGAGGAACCATCCGCAGAGCTTGGCCTCGGCTCCGCTGCCAGGGGATTTTTCCTGAAATGTGAGACGACAGAAATGTATCCTCCCTAAAGGAAGGCGCCATCCTCACTGAGCATGCCCGCGGTCCTCACAGCCGCCGGAACATGCCGGGATATGCCGGAATCCGGCCCTGCGATGTCCATTAGGTGCCACAGGGAGTGATGGAGTCTTCACCGCCTGGAATGGAAAGCCGTCTGGGAGCTCAGCCGGCTTGGCTGAGTTCATCCTGCACGGGTCCTTTTGCACGTCCCTCATCGTGCGTCTTAACTTCCCGTAAATGGCAACCTGCCGTTTTTACGATGAACTGAAACTGGAAATTTCATGGCCCCCCCCCCGATCTTAACCGCTATGGCAGGAAGACTGAATATGTTTGGCGCTATTTGTGGTTGAGGGTGGAAGCATGATATGGAATCGCTGGGCCCCAATGTGCGTGTGGTGACTCGGGTCTGGTGCGGGGGGGGGGGGGGGGGGTGAGTTTGCACCTGCCTAGATGCCCAGTCTTTGCACACTACAGGTCACATGACCCAGGAAAGTGCCCACCATTTTGAGGACTGGGGTGGGGAGGCTGTGTTGCGGGGATGTCAGCCCAAATGGCTGGAGTTCTCCCACAATCCTTTGGTTCTCATTGGCTTGCTACTGTAAGCAGAGCACTGCACCTGTGTGTAGAACACCCCCCCTCACGATAAGCTGATTCAGTTTCGGCCGCCCTCTCCATTTGCCCAAGCTGTTTTGGGGGGAGAGAAG